AGAGATACTTTTAAGCTTTGAGAGAAAAATGTAAATTTAAATGTGTCTGTTAAAAGTCTAAGAAATATTATTAAAAGAATAGAAATCATAAATATATGTTCCAAACAAATGGAAGAAGAAGGAATAAACAAAATTCAATCAAGGCTGGGCGAGGTAGCTCACGCCTGTAATCCCAGCACTTTGGGAGACCGAGGGGGCAGATCACCTGAGGACAGGAGTTCAAGACCAGCCTGGCCAACATGGTGAAACCCTGTTTCTACTAAAAAATTTGCCGGGTGTGGTGGCAGGCACCTGTAATCTCAGCTACTTGGGAGGCCGAGACAGGAGAATCCTCTGAACCCAGGAGGCAGAGGTTGCAGTGAGCTGAGATTGTGCCACTGCACTCCAGCCTGGGCGACAAGATCAAGACACTGTCTCAAACAAACGAACAAAAATCTCAACCCCAAAATAGCAATAAAGGAGAAAAACAAACTAAAAGAAAAACATAATAAATAGAAAGCATAAAATGAAATATCAAAAATAAGTCAATAAATATAGATAAATTCTCATTGTATTTTGAGAAAGAAACCAGGTATGAGTGCCTCTATTTTCTTCCTAAAATGTAATAGCAAGAATGAGGGGAGCAGGAGTAGGGTTGAGACTTCAGGGATGGGATGATCTTGCCAACCATTTTGAGTCAAAAGTAATAGACCCATTGAAGGTAGCTCAAGTAACAGGCAGTCTATGTAAATGACAGAGGAACAAACTGCCAAAAGAAATTTTGATTGGCCAATGGTCAGTCAATACATTGCCTTACTGGGATTTGGGCATCAAATGTCTATCTTTTGTCCAAATATCTGTGTCAAGATTGGGGCAGGGGATGGGTTACACACTGAAGAATGTAGCTATCTAGAGGACAGTTCCCAGAGCACATTAGGCATGCCCACCAAACCTGTCTCATACAAACAGTAATAGCCTAAAACAGTGTGTCAGTAAGGAATAGGAATGGAAATCTACTAGAGTCGAGGAAAAGGGCCATACTGAGAACTCAACTTAAAACTGGATACCATAAATGATAAGTGGAATTAACAGCCAATGCTGTTCCATTTTCTCCAGCCAATGACAGGAACGGATGAAGTTAAAGATTGGAGGTGGGAGGGGATTAACAAGGTGGTAGGAGAAACCACTATGGAATCCTGCCCAGGTTGGATGGGAAATAAAGCCCAGAAAGGGCAGGAGGACCAGGAGAGTAGACAGGGTCAAGGAATGACTGTGACTCTGAGGCTTGATGGGAGCAGCCTTTGCAGGAGAGAAGGAAAGGACAAGGTGGAGAGTTAGAGATGGTGACTAGGGAAGGGAATGCTGCTGCTGGAGTTTTCAAAGGAGAAGCAGCTCTGGGTATAGCAGAACAGACAAGAGACTAGGAAGAGAGGGACTGGCTGAGAGCCAGATGGAAGATAATGTAATCGGAGGTCATGAAAGTGGTAAGGAGAAACTCCAAAACACAGACACAAACTGCTTTCTGGGTCCCAGACCCATGTTAATGAAAATTAACAGCCTTAAAATTTATCAATGGGTCCTGTTGCTTGCAGGATGGAGTTCTAACTCCTCATCACATAAGACCTTTATGATCTTTCAGTGTCACCTCATCTCCCAGCATGCCGCCACCTAGGTCCTTCACTCCTCTACTGAACCACCTCCTTCCATGTGCACACGCTGATTTCTCAACCTGGAATCCTTTCCCAACACCTTTCCTCAATGGACTGTTAATGAGTTTTCAGAGGTAAGCCCTATTCCTCTTTTCCGGAGAACCTTCCCTGAGTGCCAGTCTGAGTTGAATGCCCCCCTTCCCATACCCAATCTGCTCCCCCTGAACTCCAGGCGTCTCTGTCACAGCATGTACCTCACACTGCCAAGTTCCCAAAGGGTAGGGGCTGCATCTTACATACTTGGGTGTCTGAATACCTAGTGGGATTCCTAGTATAGCCTCTCAGTACATACTCTTTTTTGTTTTGTTTTCTGAGACGGAGTAGTACTCTGTAGCCCAGGCTGGAGAGCAGTGGTGCGATCTCAGCTCACTGCAACCTTTGCCTGCCAGGTTCAAGCGATTCTCCTGCCTCAGCCTCGCATGTAGCTGGGACTACAGGTGCGTGCCACTTTTTAAATATATGCATGAATCTCAAGAAGTTTGAGAGAAATTGTGTCATCACATTCCATTACAATGAGAAATCAAAGAAACAATGATCAACAAGTGTCTTCAAGTGCCATGCAAAAAACACATAGCATCAATAGGGTGCAGCTCAAGTCATCAGAAGGGGATTGAGCAGAGAGGGTATGGACTGCTTTAAGGGACATTACACTGACTGATAATACTAGGATGAAACAAGACGGGAGAACTCACTAGATATGTTTGTATCATGAGTACCATGCGTGTGATTGTGGGCCACAGGGATGAGAGAGACAAGGAACTGAGAGGCCACCAACATCTGGCTGTCCCCCATATATTATCTTATGCCATGTGCATAACACATTTTGGAGATGGAAATTTACATCCCCATTTTACTGAAAAGCCAGCCACAGGGTTCACAATGGAGTTTAGGTGGAAAGTCCTGATAAATCTGTGGCAATCCTATCCAGGTGTAGTGAGATCAGCTCATTATGTCAGGCTTGGGCTTCCTCAAGCAGAAAGTTTATTCAAAGTCCTACAAAGGCAAAGGGCCTCGCCTTTTGGTTCTTCTTATGTCCTATAACACCTAGCATGTGTTATAGACTTGTTAGTACTCAGTATGTATTTGTTGGTTGAATGAACTAATGAGTTAATGAATGAATAACTGTTTAAGTATAAGACTCAGGCACTCTAAATTCTTAATATGGATTATATTATTTAACCCTCACAATATCTATGATTATC